TGTGGCAGCCATTTTAAAAGTTTGGAAGGCATGTGAAATGTTCTGTTTTCATTTATGGGTTCATTTTTCTTCTGGGATTTCCATTTTTTTGGCCTTTATAAACCTGTAAAAAAATTTACAACTATAATTACAACTTAGCACTTTAAAGGAGTAAGTCTAACTATATTCGATTTCATATTATTTTCTTTAAGCTTTGTCAAGGTGTGTTGGATTATAATTGTAGTTTTAGATTTTTTTAATTTTTAAATATTATAAAAGTATAGAAAATATATTTAATCTATTTAATATTTATTTTAATTAATATTTTATATATTTTTATGACAATAAAAAAATTTAAAAACTTTAATTGTTATTCGTATAAATTGTTAAATTTTTATTTAAAATTTATATAAAAACTATTAAAAATGAACAAAATAAATACCAAACATTAGTTCATGGTAATTTAAAAATAAATAAATTTATCAAATGTGTACCCTATATTAATTTTAAAAAAACCTAATCACTACTCTTAAATTTACATACCAAACAAGTTATTAATCAAACTAAAACACATACAATGCGGGAAATCATTGTAAATAACACATAAAAACACACAAATCATTTTCAAGGAAATAAATTTTGTCGTTGAAGAAAGACCAGCAATCAACATAAAAAGAGGCCAGACGAAACGAACGTGGAAATTTACCTTCTGTTGAAACACATTTGGTTAGGGTTTTTTTGCAAAGGTAATTTGGGTGCATTAGTGAAGATATTTGATCTGTAATGGGATGGCAGGCGTACTTATCTCTGAGAACAATGACACATTTATATTGAAATAACCTAATCCTGGGGTTGAGATTTAACTTTGGAGCTTAGACCTACCCCAAGAGTTTTGGTGCTTTTCCAAGTTTAGAACACTTGCGTTGACTGACTTAAAAATTTTTTTTACTAAGATTTGTATAAGGGAAAACTGTATCTCAACCGGGCCTCCTAATTTTTTGTTGGAATAAATTATCAAAACGGTGCCGTTCTAAGTTAACAATATAAAAATTTCAATTAGGAGTCTTCGACTCTCGTCTTCAACCATCCCCCGTTTCTACTCTCCAGATCTTTGACAAAACCCTTTCCCTTGATTTGCCCTTGTTCCCCTATTTCAATTCATCCCCTTTTCTTCTTTGATTTCTCCTTCTTCTCCTGTCTCATTTCATCCCCTTTTCTTCTTTGATTTGCCCCTATTACTCTGCATTCAAAAGCCCTCTATCCTAGAACCCTTTCTTGCGAATTCTCCTTCCATCCTTCCAACACCATAGCCACTCAACCACTTCACCGGAGGCCTGAAGACTATTTCGAAGAAGTTGCCGGCAAAAAGATGGCTATCCTTTAATTTCCCTAATTCAAGCAGAGGGAAAGGATCAAGAAGATGCAACCAGACGCAGCACTGAGGAGGATGTAGTTGGAGAAGAGAAAGATCTTGTGGGTATGGTAGTGGGATTGGGTGATTGTCGATTGGGGAATGGTGTTGAGGGAAAGACAAATTTGGGGATTTTGATGAACTTGATGATATTCGATGGATTACTCAAGTGGGTATTTGTTGAATTTGGATTCTGGAAGTTGTAGGGAGTAGAAGAATAACAAAATGCTCTCAACAATGCAAGAGAGAAATCATAGATGAAAA